GAAGATGAACGTTGAATTTCAAGACCCAGGAAATAGGAAGCCTCTCCAAGCTCCTTTAGGTTAAAGGCAGTTTTCAACACTTGCGTAAGTTCCTGAATACCTTCACTGTCACTTCCCGTAATCACCATGTCATCCACATATAATAGAAGAATGACAATGCCATTAACTGTACGCCGCGTAAAAAGAGAAGGATCATTACTACTCTGTATAAAACCTGCTTGAATTATGGTACCATGAAATTTCTCAAACCAAGCTCTGGGAGCTTGCTTGAGACCATATAGAGAACGTCGGAGTTTGCAGACCATTCCTTTCCCTCCTGCGGCATACCCAGGTGGGCATTCCATGTAGATGTCTTCCTTCAAGTCTCCATGTAAGAAAGCATTCTTTACATCTAGTTGAATGAGAGGCCACCCTTGCATTGAAGCCACAGCAAAAATAATACGTACTGTCTGCATTTTAACAACAGGTGCAAACGTCTCCTCATAATCAATGCCATACTCTTGACGAAAACCTTGAGCTACCAGTCTAGCTTTATGACGTTCAATGGTGCCATCTGGATGCATCTTGATAGTATACACCCATCGACACCCAATAACAGACATATCTGGAGTACGTATAACAACATCCCACGTCTGATTCTCGTCTAAGGCATGCATTTCATCATTCATTGCAGCATTCCACTTCGGGTCCTTCTTCGCTTCATCATAAGTAGAAGGAATAGCAATAGGTTCAGAAGAGAAACCTACATAATCATGAAAGCGAATCGGGACTTGACCTATATTGGAGCGGGTTGACTTTCGAAGTGCAGGCAGCTCTTGTTGCTCGGGCTGCTGTGGAACATCAAGGGAAGCAGAATTTTCGGAATTGTCGGTGGAAGTAGTGGCAGAGGAAGAGTTGGGGCTTGAAGAAGAATGCGTACCATTTAATGAGGAAGAGTCCCCACTAGGAGACAACCCAGGAGAAGATAATGATGATGAGCTGGAGCTGCCAATAGTCGCCGAATTAGACGTGGCTGGTGACATAATAGGCGGAGTCGAAGGAGGTGAGTTTTCCAAATTACCATCATTCCCTCCCTGATTTGGAAGAGGTAGAGGATCGGCAACAGGATCAAAAAATGGCAAGGTGGTGAGGAAGTCTAATGCACGAGATGCTTCTTCTTTATTAGTACTGTAGTAGTTCACCTGCTCGAGAAACATCACATTACATGACACCCGCATACGACGTGCAACTGGGTCATAGCACAAATACCCTTTATGACGATCACTGTACCCAAGAAAAACACACTTCGCCGTCTTTGGTTGAAGCTTATGTCGCTCTTTTTTTTGTAAAAGAACAAAACAAACACATCCAAACACACGCAAAGTGGAATAATCCGGTCGCTTTTGGTACAAGCATTCATACGGGGACTTGTGCTCCAAAACTGTGGTTGGTTGACGATTAATTAGGTGCACCACTGTGTGGACTGCCTCGGCCCAAAAGAGACTCGGTACCAGGGCATGAAATAGTAGTGCACGGGTTAGCTCCAACACGTGTCGATTCTTCCTTTCGACTACCCCATTCTGTTGGGAAACCCCAGGACATGAAAGCTGAGAAAGAATGCCCTGAGTTTTGTAAAATTCCAATAATGGTTTAGAATTAAACTCACCACCAGTGTCCGAGCGAATAACCTTGATCGTTTTGTTAAACTGGGTTTGCACCATACGAATAAACTCTTGAGCAACAGTGATCAATTCCGATTTCTGATGCAAGAAGTAGACCCACGTATATCGGGTAGTGTGATCAATAAATAATGCGAAATATCGATAACCCAGACGAGACGTGACCGGCGATGGGCCCCAAAGATCAGTATGAACCAAAGAAAAAGGTTCATCATAAGTAGTATCACTCGGCCCAAAAGTAGATTGATGAGCTTTAGCCTCAATGCAGCTCACACAAGAAGAAGAAGAATCTGGAGGATGAGAAACTTTGTCTGGTAAAATATTATTCCGAAACATATAGAGTAACCGAGCATAATGAGGATGGCCTAACCGACAATGCCATAAATCCCATCGAGAAGTCTGAACAGAAAAATCCAAAGGTCTAACCGAAACATCATAACAACTAGTGTCACTACAGGAAGAAAACAGCCTAGCACTACTACTGGACAGCTCGACAGATGCGGCCGGGAAGTTCTTCTCGTAGGCATCCAAAACAAACACACGACCCTGCTTATGTCCTTTCCCGATCACCCTCCCGGTTTTCTGGTCCTGCACAACACACCCATTGGTATTAAAGGAGACATCACACCCATCATCAGTCAATTGCCCCACAGAGACTAAATTGGGAACCAGCCGAGGAACATATAATGTATCAGGTAAAGTTATAGCACCAGTAGAAACTGTTCCAGAACCCAGAACCGGTAGACGATCCCCATTAGCAACTTGAAGATGAAGATCAGGAGTAGAATGTAACGAACCAAAATGTTGGCGAGAGGGTGACATATGATTAAAGGCAGCAGAGTCGAGTAACCAGCGAGAAGCATTACCTGGCGCAGCCCCAGTAGCAAAGGCGGAAGTCAATGCAAGAGGAAGAGCTTCCTGTAAAGCCTCCTGCACCAAGCGGCGAATATCGGCTGAAGTGAAACCAGAAGATGATTGACCAGTGGACGAAGAGGAGGCAGCCGGAGAGGAAGGAGACCCTGCAGCCTCAACAGCAAAACCAGCACCATCACGCCCAGAAGAAGGACGACGAGCAGACTGTCCCCGACGAGCAAGAGTCGGACAATCGAAGAGTACATGCCCCGATTTCTTGCAATAGGAACAAATATTACGCTTCTTGCAATGAGGTTGAATATGACCAACCTCATTACAAAAGTGGCAGGTCAAAGTACTGTAGTCTGCTCGCTGGAATTGAGGACGGCCGGAGGAAGCACCACGACCGGAGGAACCACCACGTCCAACAGCAAACGCCGCATCTGAGGAAGAGGAAGCGGAATCCAGCTGAGATTGACATTTGAGCCGAGTCTCTTCGCGGACAAGTTCAGCCACGGCAACATCGATACTGGTCACATTGCGGTGGAGGAGGGAAGCGCGGAGAGACTCGAACTCCGGACGAAGACGCATGAGAAACTGCATCAAGCGAGAGCGCGTGCGTTCAGCAACCAACTCAGCAGAGGCCGCGCCAGTGAGCAACGAGGCGGTAAGAAGATCATGCTCTGTCCAAAGATTAATACAGGTATGATAGTATGTCCGAATATCCCTGTCACCTTGAGAAAGATTAGCCAATTCAGTTTCAAGTTGATATTGACGGGACGCGTCCTTCTGAGAGTGAATGACGCGAAGATGATTCCACATCTCGGCAGCAGTGGAAAACCGGCGAAGAGTAAGAGCTGTGAGAGGATCAACCGTCGCCAACAGCCAGGTAATAATTTGGGCATTCCCCGCCGTCCAATCGGCACGCTCTTTAGCATCAGCAGTCGCCAAAGGACGAGGAGCATCACCCGTCAAAATCTCGATCAGTCGGCGGCCTTCAACAAAGTTGCGGAAGTGAAATTCCCATAACACAAAATTCTTGCCGTCGAACTTGATAGCCAGCTGATCAGCTTTAGCAGGATCCATGATGATGAGCAGCAAACAAAGGGCCAAAAAAGAACCAGCACAAACACGAGCCCCCAATTGAGGAACAAAGGCGGCCAACAATAATCCTCAAAGGCAGCCAATAATAATAATCACGCCACAAGAACAATGCAGCAACCAAGGCGGCGAGAAGTCACGATCAAGAAACGTAACGAGAAGCCAAAAACGCAGCGACCCAGAATAATAGTCCGCGACGAAGCAAAGCCCCAAGAACCCTAGTCGTGAGGCTCTGATACCATGTCAATTTAACAAAACGAATAGCAGAAAAATAAAGGAGACAAGGAGTTTTTTAACGTGGTATCGTCAATTAGACACTAGTCCACGGAGAGGATCTCCCTCTCAGGTTTTAATATTATGAGCTTTCTTAAGTTCTGGTGTACAGCTTATTACAATATATATAGGACTATAACCTTACGTAAACCGTATCCATGTAGAGTACGGCTAGGCTAGAGAGGAGTCCTAGTACAAGATGGTCTCCTAAATCAACATCTAACCCGCGAATACCCGCACCCAAGTCCATACCCCCACGACCTACGTAACCATTAACTAACTAACTGTAATTTCTAAACTAATTTCTCACACGTTTAATTAATCATACTGTTTGTGGATGTTTATCTTTAATATTGAACAATTTGTATCAATGATTTGTGGGTTAGTGTGTATGTAGTAGATAATAGTAGTGAAAACTAGTGTAATGGCATCTTTGGACATGAATCCATGAGTACCAATGAATCCGCGGATACACAGCAATTCGTGGATTGGGTTGGGTTTGAATTTTCCAAATTCAATGGATTTTACCCTGAGTTTTTTGGTAGATAAATCCATAAATTTGGATTAGGCATAACCCGTCCCAACCCGACTCATTGCCATTCCTATACTGTATTTATTATCGTGGTCTAGAGTCTAGACAGTACGACGACAACATTCTAGTAATCGCCAACCTTCATCTCGTATATCCATAAGAGAATCAATAACGACTTATTAAATAAAACAATTAAAATATGAGAAAGAATAAGGTACAAAACTCTCAACTTTACCGGTTATAGTAATGCCTCGCGAAAGGTATAGACCGGCAACAGTATATACTTGCCACATGAGACCCACGGCGGCAGCCGCCGTAGGAAGAACAATCCCATTCCACCGACGGCGAAGAAATCAAACCCACATCAACTTTACAAAATTGATTTCCGAGAGTCAGAGTCGGAGTTCTTCTCCCCATCTTTCCATCACAAACAGATACTACTATATATAAACCCACAAAAACAAAAGGGTTCATACTTCATATCCTCCGATCCATCTACCAAATTCACGAAGAAGATGAGTAAGCTATTATTAATCTCCAACAAATTACGAGCGGGCGTGGTTTTGGCGGCGGTTTTGTTGGTTATGGCCGCACGTCCCTCGATCTCGAAGAAGGCATCAGTTTCCATCGGAAATAGATTGCCGACCAGCGCGGTAACGGCGCGCTGTCAATCCAAAGACAACGACATCGGTAGACACGACATTGCCGTCGGCGACAGCATTGCTTGGAGTTTCGGAGACGTCTTTACGTACGAAACGCTGTTCTGGTGCGATCTGAACGCCACTGATTATGGGATTCTTTCTTTCGACGCTTACAGAGGTAACGACGCCGAATTTTACGACTATCATCTCCATTGGTTCGTCGAGAAAGATGGAGTTCATGTGGGGAACCTGATCGGTGTGGTAGATCCTTCGCCAACCAAGAAGTGGGGAAACTGATCAAAGTGACAAAGGAGTTCGATCGATCTTGCGAGCTAATTGATAAATGGGCCTTTGTTATTTGAGTTAATACCTTATTTTGGCCCGAACTATGACCATATAATCAACTTTGGCCCGTGGTTTCAGAAATTAACATCCTGGCCCGAACTATACAACATATAGACTCAATTGGCCCGATTCGTTAATTTCCGTCAAATTAGACGGTCAATAATGTTGACCGTTAGTGAATCAGCCTATTTTGCTTATGTGGATGCCATGTAGACATTAAAAATTAATAAAATATTAAATAGATGAATAAAACTCAAACTATCAACTACCATTAATAACAATAAAAGAAAACTGTCATTAATGAAAGAAATCACCATCTCTCATCCGCCCCACTCATCTGTCAATTCACTCCTCTGTTCTTCTTTCTTCCTCCACAAAAATCATTCTCCCTCCGCCTCTACAGATCATCTTTGCCATTTTCCATTTCATCAACCTCTCTCAAAATCATTTTGATTCCTTACCTCCCCCAAATTCCTCTACCCATATTGGGGTCCACTGAAGAGGCGTTATAGCTCGATTTCTTCTTCCAGCCATCGGAGGCAATCTGGAAGAACATGGCTTCTCGAATCCTTGCCTCGGACTCTGCTCTGGCTTCCTCGTATTTGATGTCCAGCCTCCCGCCGGCGAAATCACGCCTGGAGACAGCCGAGAGGCCGACCTAGTTGAGGAAAGCTCGGAACCAGCGGGGAGTCTGTTGCACAAATTCGTCAACGACGATGACGAGTAGCGGAACCAGCAGGTGAAGAAGACGGTTGTGAATCGCATCGTGAAGGGACCCTGGGTGGTGAAGAAGACGGTCGGGAATCACAGCGTGCCTGCTGCGGAAGGCGCTCACCTGCAATTACCACAGTGGCCTGAACTATTTGGAGATCGATGTTGATATCGCGATCTCGGCAATCACCACCGCGATTCTGCATCTGGAGCTGGGGTGCGTGACGAGCATGGCGATTGATATGGGTTCCTGGTGGAGGCACAGGAGGAGGAGGAGATGCCCGAGAGGTTGATCGGCGTCGTGAGGGTTTGTCAGATGGAGATGTCGTCGGCCGCAATTGGGGAGACGGCGACGGCGACGATGGTTGGGCGTGGGATAGGGTTGGCGAAGGTCAATGACGAAGATTGATTGATTCGTTGTGGAACATCGGAGCTTGACGGCTTAGGGGAGTCGGTGTCTGCTTTGGAGAAGAAGAATGGTTAGGGTTAGGGATTTTTTTGGTTTTGCTAGAAGAAGGAAAGAGGCGAGGGGATAAGGTGGTGGGTGGCCGAAAATAATTTTGTTTTGTTTTGATTTTTTTAATTAGGTAAAGAAAATAATAAAAGAAAATTAAAAATTGATTTTTTTATTTCTTTGGTGCTGATATGGGGTGACCTGGACAGTTGACTAACGGTCAACAGTGTTGACCGTCCAAACAAACGGTCAAATCATGCTCCCGGCCAAATGAGTCTGTATGCTGCAAAGTTCAGGCCAGGATGTTAATTTCTGAAACCACTGGCCAAAGTTGATTATATGATCATAGTTCGGACCAGAATAAGGTATTAACCCTTGTTATTTTGTACGTGCTCATCATGTTGTATGTTTTTATTTTTTATTTTCCTGCAGTTATGTTGTGTATCCGATCGAGCTGTCTCGGCCCCTTTTTCGAAACTGACAACTATCATAATGACAACTAGGTTTTCTATAATGTTTTCTTAAGGCTTCCGTCAAGGAGATCCATTATCTGCGTACGCCGTAGTTTCTGAAACTTTTCAACTTTCATAATCATATCAAAATTTCCTGTAATGTTAAAAGAGTATTTCATCTCTTGTGAAGAAAGGGAACCCTAATTAAGAATACTCAGCCCAGGAGGTTTCATCTCTCGATTGAGTATTACTTTGGCAGTGTCGTAGTAACCCCACATATAGAGGTGGCAATTAGAATCCAAATCCATAAATCCAATTCAATCCATCCACCAAATTATCCACCTAATCCAATCCATTTAAATCCAATCCATTTGATCCAAATCCAATTGGATTGATGGATTCATGGATCAATCCAATGATCCAAATGGCAAATTATGATTTGGTACCTATATTTTTTATATTTTACATTTTGGTACCTAAAATTTATATTTTTATACGAAAAATATCATTGGAAAATTACATTTTGGTACCTAAATTTTTTCGTTATGACATTTTAGTACCAAAACTTTTCAAATTTTACATTTTGGTCCAAGCCTTTGATGTCATTTGGATTCATGGATCAATCCACCAATCCATTTGATCCAATCCATGAATCCACCAATCCATTAGATCCAATCCATTTGATCCATCGATCCACCAATCGAATCCACGAATCCAATCCAATTGCCACCTCTACCCACATATATTAACACATACTGTAATGCAATGATACTAGACGATACAATATGGAATCCTTTCTATATACTTGAATTATTGGGGTAAACTAGTTTTTAACGTGGCACCAATGGTTGTTTTGACTAATAAGAACATATACTCTTTGAAAGCGCGATTTTAATTGCTTTTGTGCCCTTCCACCGCATCTCTGGCGGATTTCTCCCGAGTTTATACACTGAAATTTTTACATGGAAGGTTAAGCGTTTTGGTGATGTAGAAAAGTAAAATTATAAGATTTTAATCTTTAAAGCATGATTCGACTACATTGATTGCGAGCCTTAGCATTAATAGATTGTCCGACCTCAATATATGGTCCATCCGTGCAAAGTTCAAACTAATGGTTTGGTTGTCATGTAATGGGGTGCGTCTTACCAACTCGAGGTACTCAAAACCAACTAGTTCTTGACATTACATCAAGGTCTGCTTTGACTGGGAAGTCTCTTTTTCAAATTGTCACAACCTCCAATCTTATTAATCCGTATAACTACAAGGTATGGTTAACTTGTGCAAATTTTAACCTAATAAATTGACTTTTTGTTAATCGTGGAAACGTGTAAAAAAGCTATATATAAGATCTAAAAAAAACTAAATCTGAATAAATTACACAGACCTAGCAGTAAAATAGATACAGAGCCTGCTTAGATCCCCAATGACAATCCCCTCTAAGCGAGTGGAAAGATTCAGAGGGAGTTATAGGGCTGGTAACTAAAGGTGGCAAATGAATTGGATTCATAGATTGGTGAATTGATCCATTTCTTTATCCAAATGACATCCAAACCTTGGACCATTATATAAACTTCGAAAAGTGTAGTTACTAAAAGGTCATGATGACAAAATTTAAGGTACCAAAACATAATGTTTACAATAATATTTTTGTTAAAAAATGTAAAACACAATTTTAGTTACTAAACTAAAATTTATCATTTGAATCGATGAATCAATCTTGAATCCACTATTCAATTGAATGTGAATCAAATGAATAAAAGTGATATGAATTGGATTTACTTAGATATTTTAATGAATGAATTTAATTGAATTTATGAATTTGAATACTAATTGCCACCTCAACCGATAACCATGACCACTACAATGGTTTTCCTTGTACCGTATGTTTCTTGTACCTCGTGATTTATTATCTCGAAAGTTGAGATGCATTTTCTTTCCCAAATTTACCGATTATAGTAATGCCTCACAAAAGGTATAGACCGGCAACAGTATATACTTGCCGCACGAGACCCACATTGGCATTGGCAGCCGCCGTAAAAAGAACAATCCCATTCCACCGTCGACGGCGAAGAAAACATAATAAATTGAGTAAGCGCCGGAGGTCTTCTGCTCATCTTCGGACACTATAAAAAAAACAGACAAAAAACAAAAGGATTCATATCCCCTTCATCTACCAAAAAATCAATGGTAATCTCCACAAAATTACGAGCGGGCGTGGTTTTGGCAGCGGCGTTGTTGGTTATGGCCGCACGTCCCTCGATCTCTTCGACCGATGCATCAGTTTACATCGAGAATAGTTTGCCGACCAGCGAGGTGACGGCTCGGTGTCAATCAAGAGACGACGACATCGGAAGACACGACATCGCCGTCGGCGACAGCATTTCTTGGGGTTTCGGTGACAACGGTTGGTCGGAAACGCTGTTTTGGTGCGATCTGAACGCCACGGATTACGGGGTTCTTTCTTTCGACGCTTATAAAGGTCATGAGGCCGGAGTTCTCTACTATCATTACGTTTGGTTCGTCGAGGAAGATGGAGTTCATGTGCGGAACCAGTACGGTATAGTAGAACCATTGCCTACCAAGTCGTGGGGAAACTGACTTTGAGAATTGATTCAAGCGAAGAAGACAGGTCGATCTCGCGAGCTAATTGATAACAGGGTCGTTGTTGTTGTTGTTGTTGTTGTTGTTGTGTTTTTTGTCTGCTCATGTTGTATGTCTTTTTACCAGTTATGTTGTGTATATCCGACCTGTCTCGCGACCTCTTTTTTACAGAGCTTATCAACTATCATGAATCAATATCTGAGTTTTCTATAATGTTTCGTTAATACGTGTCTCATTTTTTGGAGGTGTCGTTCTAAGATTAAGGCAGTATTAAAGGCCAGCACTCAAATGAACTTTTTACAACCAGCAAAGGAGAGACTAGGAATGAAATTTTGAATCCGCTCTGTTCGGTATCATCCGACTTGATCTAAAAATGGGGCGTGTATTACTTGATCCGTGATAGTATGGAGCGCGGCATGAGTATCGTGGTACCCTCCCATTCCGCCCCATTGCAATGATTACTAGGAGAGACGAAGCATTTTGTCCATTTTATACCAATTTCTTAAAGTATCTATCAATATTTTTCTTATTTTGACTTTTCTTCAACAAATTAGACTGTGTCTTTCCACTAATTAGACTCAATTACCCATTTTATTATCACTAATTTTTTTTAACAGCGCTTCGTAGTGATAAAATTAATTATATTTTAAATATTATTTGCTTATTTAATAATTTAGTGAAAATCAAATAATTCACAAACTTTTTTGAACAAAATACCTTCATAAGTTTTACGTATTGTCTTAGTAAGTACAAAAGACTTATATGATACGTTTGTTTAATTGTTGAATAAGAAATCACTATGACTTCATAAGTTTAATGTACTGTATTTGTCATTTGTGTAATTGTGTTAGTAAGTTGTAAGTACGTATTATCGCACAATGACAGCCGCCGTCATAGAAGAACAATCCCATTTGACCGGCGATCGACGGCGAAGAAATCAAAATCATACAATTTTAGTAAATCGATTAAGGAGAGTAAGAGTCGGAGGTCTTCTGCTCATCTTTCCGGGCACTATAAATTATAAAACCAGAAAAGGGAGGATATATAGTAAAAGTACCCACGAAAAGTATATATAAATAAATAAATAAAACGAAACAATCGGATTCATATCTCCATCTACCAAATTCATACACGATGAAGAGTAAGCTGATAATCTCCACAAAATTGCGAGTGGGCTTCGCTCGATCTCGATCCAGCAAGCATAGATTTTTGTCGAAGAAAAAAAGAAAAGAATCATCTACCTTGTTTGTATTTTATGAGTTTACGATATTGGAAGAAATTAAAATAGGGAGTTATCTATGACTGACTTAAAAACAATTCTAGCAATTTAAATTCAATCATAATGAGTGCTGAGTTTCGGAAACCGCTCCTTCATGTTTGATTTGAAAACGATCCGGAGTGGAAGATAAAGTATCAAAAGGACTTCGAGTGGCAATCTTATATTCTGCATATCATTGATGTGACGTAGCCACTATACATTGAGGTATATATTGTGTTAGTCTCGATTAGTAGACAACAGTTATGTAACTGGCCTCTATAAGAGGAATGCATACACTAGTTGATTAACATTTTGTTCATTTAAAATATTAGTTGTACTTTTTATTGATACCCAAAATAAAAAATATATCCATCAGGTTATCACCCTGCATCTTGCCTTCCAAACTCCATTATATTAAAATTTTCTGTCTCTCTTTTCACAAGAACCATACTTGCCACTTATAGTAATGCCTCAGAAAAGGTATAGACCGGCAAAGGTATATACTTGCCACTTAAGACCCACAGCGGCAGCCGCCGTAGAAGAACAATTCCATTCCACCGATGGCGAAGAAATCAAAACCCATATAACATTTAGAAAATTGATTCAGGAGAGTCAGAGCCGGAGTTCTTCTGCCCATCTTCCCTTCACAAACAAATACTATAAACCCACAAAAACAAAAACAAAAAACGGTTCATATCCTCCATCTACCAAATTCACGAAGACGATGAGGAAGCTGGTAATCTCCAATAAATTACGAGTGGGCGTGGTTTTGGCGGCGGCGTTGTTGGTTATGGCCGCACGTCCCACGATCTCGACCAAAGGATCAGTTTACATCGAGAATAGTTTGCCGACCAGCGAGGTAACGGCGATCTGTCAATCCAAAGACGACGATATCGGAAGACATGACATTGCCGTCGGCGACAGCATTTCTTGGAGTTTCAGAAACAACCCGGGTTGGTCGGAAACGCTGTTTTGGTGCGATCTGAACGCCACTGATTATGGGGTTCTTTCTTTCGACGCTTATAGAGGTAAGAAGGCCAAAATTTACAACTATCATTACTTTTGGTTCGTCGAGGAAGATGGAGTTTACGTGCAGAACCAGTACGGTATAGTAGAAACATTGCCTACCATGTCGTGGGGGAAACTGGATTAAGAATTGATTCAAAGCAATAATAATAAGAGGGTCGATCTCGCGAGCTAATTAATAACAGCAACAGGGTTGTTGTTGTTGTACGTGTTTTTGTCTGCTCATGTTGTATGTGTTTTTTTTTTTTTTTTTATAACGAGGAACACCCTCCACGGTCACCACATTTTGTGATGCCGTAGTCAGGCTAAACCCCGGGACCTCCGCCGGCGGTCCGGGTGATAGCGGGATGCCTCCGGGAACACCATGGTGGCGGTGAGGATCGAACCTGGGACGTTATGGTCACCATTCCTCCTCCCTTACCACCAGGCTATGTGACCTTTGGCATGTTGTATGTCTTTTTATTCAGTTATGTTGTGTATTCCGACCTGTCTCGTCGGCTCTTTTTTTTCTTTTCTTTTTTCTTGAAGGTGTCATTCTAAGACTAAGGCACTCAAAAAGGCCAACACCCAAATGATCAAATGATTTACAAAATAGTTCAGGTGTAGATATCTCGATAATTTTTTTTATGCAATATCTTAATTATTACAGAAGATTTATGTAATACGTTTGTTAAACTAATACTTAGAAATTAACTACCCATTCATAAATTTTAAATAATGTATTCATAATCTAAATAACAGTGGTAGAATGAAGTTACCTAAATCTCTCATAATATGTGGTCTAACAATTAAAAATATAAAATATAAGTACTTAATATATATAAGTACTTAAATATAATTATTCAACTATCTATTAATTCACCTATCTGATTGGATTTCAGTCTAATAAATTTGATTTAAATAAATTGGGTTAATTGGAAATTTAGTGGATGGGTGGATTTGGTATCACTATATACACATCAAATCTCCGGGATCCTGGAAGTGTTTGAGGCCCACAAGGGATTAGCAGTTGGGCCTTGGTGTTGTAGTTCCCAGCCATAGCCCAACGCTGAAGCCCGTGCTCGAAGCCATGCATGCAGACGTGAAGCAGGTAGGAGCCAGCTCATTGAAGCTAGGTTGCCTTAGAATGACACTATTATTATCATCAGATTATTAGCTGAATTATTAGTTTTGGACAAGGAGTTTTGGATGTACATATTTTTAAGTGCGTAATGGTATAAAATATTACAAATACACATAATTTCATTTAGTGAGGTATCTAATCATTTATTCACGTTCATAAAACCATATTTTTCATTTTTCAACCCTAAAGTAAACCGATAAATCCTTCCGTAGGGCAACTATCGATATATTCTTCCAAGGGAAGGAATTGTTTCCCTTTTTTTTTACCTTGATTCATATCGAAAAGAATCGACAAGTTTTCTGTATAAAAAATATTTAGATATTATTATTATTATTATCATTATCATTATCATTATCTCACACGATACAAATAAGATGGGCGAAGGAATCATTACACACAGGAGAGACAGAGAGGTCCAGAAGACTCTTCTACTGAGCTCTCATATGCACGTTTTGAACGTGGAGAGCGAAGAAGACCATTTTGACTAGGGTGGCTATACGGTTTGGTCCGGTTAAATTGGCCCAAATTGATCCGGTCCAGTTCGGTCTTTTTGAAAATATAAGGACCAAAGATTGGATTGGATACAGTCCAATTTTGATCCGGTCCGGTCTTGACTTGATCCGGTCCCCATTTGATCTTGATTTTATATTGAGCTTGTGGGGATTTGGGTGACCTAAGGCCTGAAAGGGTGAGAAGTTGGTTAAGTTTTGTACTAAGTGTAAAGGTTCGTGACCGTATATGCAAATTACCCTTAAGTTTTGGGTGTTGAACTCTCTTATCTGGTCTTTATCCAATTTTCGATCCGGTCCCTAACGATTTTTTTACCTCAAATCTAAGCTCAAAATTTGGATTGGATTGTTTACTATCTGGTCCCGGTCCGATCTCGGTCCGAATTATACAGTCCAGTTTCAGGTAGAACCAAAAAACCCGGACCAAATAGCCAGCCCTACTTTTGACCCCGCCATAGCCGTGTTGCTTCGACGGCGTTATTTGCACTATAAATACAGCCAAAAACTAAAGGAAGGAAACAAGATATACACAATACACAGAGAGAGAAAATAAAGGACATACCCTTCAAAAGAATTGAACACCAACATGTCGATGCAGCTGCTGGTCCACTCAAAACTACGTCCGGCGATGGTCGTCGTTGCAGCTGCCTTGATGATTGCGGCGGCGGCACGTCCCACAGTCCAGATGTTTCAACCGAGGTCGGTTTCCGTCGTAAACATGCTGAGCGATAGGAAGCTGATCGTGCATTGTCGGTCCAAAGACGACGATTTGGGAGCCCACGTGGTGGAAGTAGGCTCTGAGCTGCGCTGGGTGTTCGTCCCGCTCGACGCTACGCTGTTTTGGTGCAAGCTGGCGGTGGAGGATCGGCGCCATTCTTTCGATGCGTACGATGGGCTGAAGGGAGATATATGCTGTCGTGATATTCACTGGATGGTAAGGGACGATGGGCTTCATCTCATGGATTCGGACGGCGTCGAAGTAGAATCTCATCGACGGGAGTGGCACCACCACCTATAGCTCGAATGAAAGCCTACCATGGACTTTTGGTTTGCACAGGTTATTAATATCATCACTTGTGGTAAGCCATTGTTACCGAGAATTCTCAGCTCAATGTTCTGATACCAGGTGAATGAACAAACCACTTAATCTTAATATCTCAAATTGTTGGAAAAAGGATTATGCATTCATTTTCTTTTAATCCATACCAGTCAATACTCAATCAACGAGGGAATTCACTGGGTTAACTGGGCTAGGAGTGTTCGGGAACTGTGATTGCGACTTTCATTTCCACTCTTTATAATCACCATATACCATTTGGGCCCATTAACAAACTTTCAAAGGCCCATTAGTACATGTTGATGCATTAAATTAGTATGCGGATTAGTAAACGACCAAATTAATAATAAGCATTTCGAGAGGATTAGTAAATGACCAAATGACTGAAATGAGTCATGCCCTCACAACCTTCACAAAGCGGATTTGTAATGACCATTTTCCCTTTCTAGTCCTTTGAATAAATAAAAAAATGTAGCAATGTGAATGAAGAGGAAATAGACGTGAAGGATGATGATAAATATGAGTTTGACGGACGGATATGCATGTTAATTATATGAGGCTATGTCAGATATGTTTTTCTAGCGTGACATTCAGTCACAAACTTTAAGTGACGGTTCTACTCAAATTTGGGAAAGAAAATAGGGAGCATGGAATTCACTAACTAAAATATTTGCCATTCATGAGTTTTCTTTCGGTTAACTTCTTCATCTCCCCTATTTCCCTCTCAAAAGAAAAAAAAAAAAAAAAAGAATCATCTACCTTTTGTTTGTATTTTATGAGTTTAAGATATTGGAAGAAATTAAAATCGGGAGTTTTCTATGAATGGCTTAAACAAAATTCTACAATTTTAAATTTTTTTTACTGAGGGAGACAAATTCGCGATGACTTTGGAAAACCGCTATCCAAGCCGTGATTGATTTCAATGATCCAGAGTGGAAGATCAAGTATTAGAAGCACTTTGAGTGGCGGACTTATATTATATATGCATATCATTAGTGTGACATAGCAACTGTACCGTGTGTATATATAAAAATAATGGAAGTTTCAACTCTTTGGAACTATCTAGCTAACAGGTACCCATGTTCTCTCAAAGGTGGAACTATCTAGCTGTACTGTGCTGATCTTTTCAGTGGGCTGTGGGTTTTTGCTTGGTCCTGGGTCCCTGTTCCTCTTCTTGACGAGGCGGAGCATATTGGTTCATTGCTCTGCGTTTCTAAGCTCTGTTTGCTTTTGTTTTTTGTTTTGCTTGGTTAGACTTCGTACCCTAGAGATCAAGCCTTGTGATCTCGTTGTCGCTGTTGTACAGTTTTCTTTCGTTTAATATTAATCGTCGTTATAAAAAAAAATATAGTTTATCAATCATCGTATTGGTCAAAACTACTTTCAATATATCTTCTCAACGGTCATATATAATATAATGATACGTATGAGAGGCAAATTGTAATTTGCTATAGCTCCTAAGCGCAACAAAACTCTAATTGATTAATCGATGTTTAGATTTAAAATTATGACTAATGATCTATATTGTCAGTCATCGTCCATTTGAGCATATGTAAAAATTGAATGTTGATCGTTTTCGGAAAACTCCAATTAATATTAATAGAATTGATTGTAGTACTATATACAAGTGAGTTTAATTTCTAGTAGAGTTAAATCGAGGAATTATATATTTAATTATACGTATATCCCAAAGAACAAGAATAATGAAGCTAGACTAACCTCTCATCCACATCTATCTAACTGATTTTTTTTATGCATTTACTGTTTCATATTTTTATTTTCCCCATTTCCCCCTAAAAAAAATGAATGAATCATCTACCTTTTTGTTTGTATTTTATGAGTTTAAAATATTGGAAGAAATTAAAATATGGAGTTTTCTATGACTAGCTTAAAAGCAATTCTACTATTTTAAGTTAAATAATACTGAGGGCGACAAATTCGTGCCGAGGTTGGGAAACCGGTACCCCGGTGATTGATTTCAACAATCCGTAGTGGAAGATCAAGTAGTAACGGAAGGAGTACTCATATTTTATGCATATCATTGGTGTGACATTGACTATTCCCAAAATTAAAAACATATCCATATGGTCACTCTACATCTTGCCTTCCAAACTCCGTTATATTGAAATTTTGTGTCTTTTCTCTTTTCACAAGCTCCACCTGTCATCTCCATACCGACAAATATTTTCTTGAAGTTGTTTTATTTTTAGCTAATTCTATTCGTTCTAGTAATTTTTTCTTATACTTCTTCACTTATGTAATATTAGTATATATAGATGTAATTGTTAATTGACATGTGTTAGGTAAACTAATGCCATAAAAACGTAAAAAAAAAATTGCGTTCTTTGAAATTTTATGAAACATGTTTAATATTTTTTCCGAGAACGCCCATAACTCGAAATGATATGAGACCCGATGAATTGGGTCAATATTTAACACCGAAATCAACCAACCCAACATGATCCCAACCCGTAATAACCTATAACCCGAGATTCCCTACTTCAAAATTATCCAACCCGCGGCCCGATTGCCGGGTCTAGTTCAACATAAATTTTTGCTTCAATTTTTGGAGCAATAATAATTACTACATCCAAGCGCGCGAATGAATTGTTCCCTTAAACATGAAATGGTATAAATGGGGCCGCCGGCAACATCACATCTCAACAAACACAAAAATCAGAAGGGCGAAGAAATCATGATGAACAGTAGGAGAGACGAAGGAGAGAGCCATAGCTACAGAAGACTCTCCGAGCCGCGCTGATTCTACACATCATTGCACTATTAAAAGGCGGAGAAGAAGAAAAAACAGCAAAAAACTATAGGAAGAGGAAAGCAATAACGCACAAAGAGAAAGATGTGGAGGCAGCAGCCAATCCCCTCAAAATTTCGACTGCCGGCGGTGGTTGTCGTCGCGGCGTTGATAATTCTGGCACGTCCCACGATCCAGAGCGCGGTCTCTGTGAAAAACGAGATGAGCGATAAGAAGCTGATAGTGCACTGTCAATCCAAAGACGACGATATTGGGAGGCACGTCGTGGATGTAGGCCTGGATTTGCACTGGGATTTCCTTGCGGAGATTGGGACACAGTTTTGGTGCAACTTGGCGGTGGAAGATAAACATCTTTGCTTCGACGCATATCAACAGTCGGACAGAGACTTGTGCTGTGGTCGCATTTACTGGAAGGTCAGGGATGATGGTGTTCATCTAGTTGACCCGGATGATGGAGAAACAAAATCTTATCGACGGGAGTGGAAACACCTATAGCCTTAATCCATACTTTTTTCTTCTTCTTTCGTTGATGATTGGTCTTAAAAGTTCGAACTTAGGATGTGGTAGATGTTTCTCATTATACCACATCTAGACCAAACCCTATGCTATCCACGCTTATTCGTCATCTCCTATGCTATTTATCTTTTGCTGTGCCATTTACGGCTCTACTCCACATATATCGGTCTTCTGCGTTATTTAGTAATTTAAGTTGTTGGGAAAATGCGAACCTAGTATTATATCAAGCAATAACCCAATATATTTCAAAAGGCTTAACTAATAAGTTAAAAGATTTGGACTAGCAAATTATATTTTCCAAGAAAAGAAAAAGAAGATTATACTTTTACTGACATAAATCAAGGGCAACTTGTATTGAACGATATGGCATATGAACGTGGATAAATTCTAACACTCGATCGAACTTACATGTGAACCTCATGCATGCAGACGTACGTGAAGCAGCCAATCCCATTTAGGTAGTTGTCCTTGCGATGAGAGCTCCATCCATATTATTATTTGAATGAGCTAAAAAAGTTCAGATTTAAGAATTGGAAATTAAAGATATTTTATTTTTCTTAATTTTCTTAATAAATTTTTATGTTCTTCGTTTTAATTCGAATTTAAATTTCTTTGCACAGAAGGATAACGTGTTCGATGTTTGACGCATGAATCAGGTCGATCTTCCCCTTCACCACATCTGATTCGCTCAGGTTTGAATCAAAGCGCCGACGGATATGACAAAAATTGGCCCACTAGGGTTTCTCGCCACTAAAGTGCACCCAGTTTTTCGAATCGTAGAAGGAAGGGAGCATATGATATAGATTTCAGTCTCTGGTACAAATTAAACCTTGCAATTGTCCTCCATAACCATAACTTTGAGAATATATTATTCAAAATTGAAAAGAAATTATAAGAAAAGTATTGAGAAGATATTTTTATCGAAATTGAATGAAAATTTTAATTTTAGGATTTTAGTTCAGCTAAGTAAAGCTATAGGTTATAGATTCGATGGTTTGAAGTTAAAAAAGTTACGGATTAATTTGGGTGGATTTATGGGCCCCTGGTAGTATTTTTATGAGAAATTGATACATTCTTCTTTCTTTCTTTTGCGGATTAATTTGGGTGGATTTGCAGCATATTTTTATCTCAGACGATTTTGCCGAAAGCCTGAATATAGTACATATATCTCAAACAAAAACAAATAAGATGGGCGAAGGAATCATATAATGTATACAGGAGAGACAGAGCCAGAAAGACTCTCTGCCCCCCTAGAGTCGTGCTACTTCTACACATCATTGCACTATTAAAATAATTCATTCCTACAACCTGCTTCTTCATCACATTGATATCAGGATGATGTGGAGGCTGCATCTAATCCCCTCAAACTTACAACCGGCGGTGGTGGTCGTCGTCGTGGCTTTGATAATTCTGGCATGTCCCTCGATCCAGAATCCGGTTTCTGTGAAAAATGAGATGAGCGCTAAGAAGCTGATAGTGCATTGTCGATCCAAAGACGACGATATCGGATCTCACATCGTGGATGTAGGCTCTGATTTGCACTGGGATTTCTATGCGGGTTCGTCGACACTGTTTTGGTGCAAATTGGGAGTGGAAGATAAACGTCTTTCCTTCGACGCATATCAACAGTCGGACAGTGACTTGTGCTGTCGTACCATTTACTGGGTGGTCAGGGATGATGGCGTTCATCTAGTTTACCCGGAGGGAGAAATCGAATCCTATCGACGGGAGTGGAAACACCTCTAGCCTGTTAGTGTTGTGGTATATGATACACGATTGAACCTCTCCCAACAACTCGAGTTATTGGGATCAACTGGTTCTTGACATGGTATCAGAGCCTTCTGTGACCGAGAGGTTTTGTGTTCGATTCCCGGTAAACCCCATTTGTTAAGCACATGGTATTCTGTGCAAACTTCAAGCCCTTGTGAGTGGCTTTCGTTTGAGAGGGCGTGTAAGTGTTGTGGTATATGATACACGATTGAACCTCTCCCAACAACTCGAGTTATTGGGATCAACTGGTTCTTGACATAGCCATAGGATTGGGTTGCACCGCTTGTGCTTCCATTCTTTTACTCTTTGTTCTGTTTTGGGTCTGTGAACCCTTTTCATTTTCTTTTAATAAAATTTTCATCCTTATCAAAAAAATAATAATAATTATCTCTTTAAAAGAACAAGTTACAAGTTTACTGTTTCATAGAGTCACGTCTTAACACTGTTTTTCTTTGACACATTTTTACTGCGTTCTCGTCTGTAATCATTGCTTTCTCTCTCTTTCCTCTCTGCTTTTAGCCTGGGTTGCTTCGCCAGCGACTTCTCTTCTCTCTGCAACTTATCGGTTTTCGGAACTCCTCACCTTTCCCCTGAGAAATGACAGGTCTGGCGCTTCCTCATCTGTTCCTTTCCCCACAAAAGTCTTCTTTTGCTTTGCTACCTTTCATTTATGCTCCTCACAGACTTTCCCTCTTCTATCTTGCTTGCTCGCTTGCTTTCTTCTATTGCTCTTCCATGGTGACCCATAAATTGCTTCTTGACCTCAGCGACTCCGATGGCCTTCAGACTCTTCTGAAGCTGCGCCTCCTTCATGCGTGGGGGTCTTATGGGCTGAAGAATCCTACATTAATCTTCAACTACTGCACTCTGTGGAATGATGAGGAGGTCAGCGCTGCTTTCTTCTTTATTTTGCCATGCAATCTTGCGCCTCCCTTCTTTTTACAGCCCTCTGATGTTCGTTTCTTTTCTGGCCAGGGTACTTTGATTCAGGGCACGGCTCCTTCGGAACTCACGCGCCATTTCTCTCCGCTTCTGCAGTTGGGTAGCGTTTATTTCGTGAGCAACTTCCGCGTCAAGCCACCGGCCCCTTCGTATCGTTCTTGCTCTCATAAGTTGACCATCGTCCTCTCTGCTGCTACACAGTTCGAAGACGTGACCCGTTCGTCACCTTCATTCTGGCCAGATGCGTTCGAATTTACCCCGTTCAGCTCGCTTCATTCCCGCATACGTTCATCGGTCTATCTGACAGGTCTTGTCCTGTATTCTTTACGTCTCTTGCTGTCCGTTCTGCACTGTACTGCTTACCACCCTTTCCTCTCTTCTCTTGCTTGTGCCTCTGTCAGATGTCGTTGGCGCTGTTGTTAGCATCACAGGCGTTTCTAGCACTGTTACTTCATTCGGTACCACTGTGCGGAGTGATTTGGTGCTTCAGAATGAAAAGTATGTTACACATGCACACCACTGCTTTATCGACTGTGCTACATTTGTTACTTACTTTCGCTGTTTTTTTGCCCAGTCACATGTTTCTTGATATCAGTCTGTGGAGTGATATAGCTCGGAATCTCAATGGTCAGGAACTGGCTGTCCTTGGTCGTTCTGGGCCAGTCATGCTTGCTGTTTGCTCACTGCGAGTCACTGGCGCTACGAAAGGTCTGCATGTACCTTACCGCTGCACTGTTCTCCGTTTCATTTCCCTTCCTCCTTTCCTTATTACCTTCACCCCTTTTGTAGGAGGTTACTCTTTGACCAGTACTCCAGGCACACGTTGTGTTCTCAACCCTGTTTCTGAAATGGCTCACCTGGTCCAATCTGTGTATGTCTTTTCTTATCCTCCTCATATTTGTTTTTCCCTTCGCATCATCAGCTGTCTTTTTTGTTACTGCTAATTTGTTGCGTTCCTTGCTTTCGCTTCCGTTAGGTTCTTTGCCAGCACTAATACATGTCAATATTACCCTCCGAGGTTTGCAACTCCTACTGAGGCAGCGGCCTTCGAAGCTGAATGTACGAAGACTGTGTCACAACTGCTTGCTTTGTGTTTTCCACCTGTTGCCGATGTATGTTTTTTCCCCTTTTGCTCTCCAACTTACCTGCTTTTGTTCCTTTCACTTCATTTGTTTGTCCGTCTAATCATTTCTTCCGTTTACTTTTTTTTTAGTCTACGCGTTACCATTGCTCTGGTCGGATCGTTTCGGTTGATTCTTCTATGCAGTGGTACTACTTGGGTTGTGCGCTTTGTTCCAAAGCAGCCATAGATTATGATGGTGTTGACAAATGGTGTGATGACCACCGTCGTTTGGTGCCTCAACAAACACAGAACTTGTAATTCCTTTCTTCATTCTTGCCCCCATACCTTTTGCCTATTTCTCGTGTCCTCATACGCTCCTGTACACGTTTTTTGCAGTTACAAACTTCGGGTAACAGTTGATGACAACACTGGATCAGCAGCTTTTGTTCTGCTGGGTAGGGCCGCTGACCTTCTTGTGGGCTTGACTGCTAACGATCTCTCTACTAGGTTTCCTTACCAGCGCAATGTTCTTCCACAAGAACTTCTGGCTCTTGAAGGACGAGACTTTACTTTTGACGTCCAGCTTCCAAAACCGGAATATGGGGCTCGTGGCCCGCCAGAGTTCACGGTCCTTGCTGTCAATGAGCAAGAACAGCCAAATTCCTGCTCACCAACTCTTAGTCGCCGGTCAAGAAATGCTATGCCCCATACACCACCTCCTAACAGGTTTTTTCCGTGTTCTCCAGTTTGTGGAACAGTCCCCTTTTGTTCATTACTAATCGCTACTTTCCGTTGCAGTCCTCACTTGATGCCTCTTACGTCTCCATATGTTGTTCCAACAATTCAGACCGCTTCGGTAGACCATGGTTCTTCTATTGCTTCACCAAGGTAATGCTTCAATTTTACATGTCCTCTTTTCGCTGGTTGTTGATTGTCTTGAACTCGGGTTCCTTCTTAAATTTGCAGTGGGAGTTCTCAGCTTGCATTTTCTACTCCTCCACGTCGCCCCTACAACAGGTCTTTTGTACAGCCCACTTTGCTTTACAAAATTAACAAGCTCTTCTTTGGACGCTGTCGAACTCTTTCCCTATGTGTTGACATTTCTTCTCCATGCGTTGTTTACCGTCAAGTTCCAGTAGGCGCATCGCTGCTGTATCCTCACCCTCATCTGCTGCATTGGGAAGGTTGTCTGTTTGTTGTCTGCTTTGCTAGCTCAGTGCTGCTTATACACGTTCTGATGTCGTTTTCTGACATGTTTCTTTACAACAACAGTGTCGTAGCTCCTTCTCCTGAACTTGGTCGTACTGAGATTGTTTCCTATGCGCGGTCAGTTTCTTGCCTTTTCCTGTATTACCTCAAGCGTTCGACTTAACGCCTGCTTATATTTGTCAATGACTCTTGCACACCCGTTTTAACTGCTTCTTAGCCCTAGAAGTGAGGAAGTGCCCCCAGAAACTGCAACACAGCGATCCCCACAGTACCTTCCCTCCTGTTAACTTACTTACTAGCTTTACGTGTCTCTTTCTTTCCTTCCTGAGCATCTCTGTATCAGGGAACTTGCTTCGGACACTACAGATGCTACTGTGCAGAACAAGACCATTAGTTCGCAGAAAGCGAAGCCGAAGAAACCATCTGCTAAGAAGAAGTCTCTCTGCCCTTTATTACTTACTATGTTTCTTGTACCAAATTTACCATATCCTACATTAGGTCTTAGTTTCCTGTTTACCTTGCTTCTGTTTGCATATTGCCAATTGACTTTGGTTTTTTTTGCACCCTTCGTTTCAAATGTGCCCGCCATTGTTATTTCGTTTGGTTGGTTGTTAACTGTGCATACGCCACTATTGTCTCTTGGAATTCTTTTACTTATCATAGTATCCTGCATTGTACTTCGGTTTACTGTCCTTACCTTATACAGCTTTGTTGGACTTTTGCAGGAAAACTGGAAGTCCAAGTGTTGCGCGTCGTCCTGCAGTTACTCTTGCAAAAACCGATGTTCCAATATCGTCCCTTGAGATCCCTACTGGACATCCTTTGCCAACCGAATCGGCGAATCCTGACTCTGGAAATCTTCATGGCCTCGGTGTCAATTTGCAGACAACAACACTTCAGCCTTTGTCACAGTATGTGTCGTTCTAATTATTCGCTTGCCAGTGTTGTCTGCTCCCTAGAATTCCAGTTTGCATGCTTTTGGTGCTCTTTTAAACCTGATAACAAAAGGGCTCCAGTCTGCACAGAATACTTATTTTGACGCAAAAAGAACTGCAACCAATGCTTTTCAATTACATTTGGTCTTCTGCTTTTATACATGGTTTTAAGTTGTCACCATAAAATACAATCGCCGATGGATGGCCTTTTGTATCCCTTTCTTCGCCTTTCGCTAACTTACACGTGTTCTCAATGTGCAGACATACAATGTTACCTTTCAGTGGCCATACTAATTATCTACGAATGTTCTCCCTTTTTTGTTTATACAGACCAAAATAAACAAATAGTTGTGGCTTCTGCTTACTTGGTCAGCTTCAAATCAATTGTTTTCCCACAGTTGAAGTAATAATCGTCTTTACTGTAGGGAGATTCCTTGTGCAGTGGGTTCTTTGTTGTTAGTCATTATCTTATTCGTGCTTTGCAAGTTGCTCCCGCATTGCATAGGAATGTGCATGTTCTTCCATATAGATGTGTTTTTACAGACCTACTTCCTTTGTCTCCTTTTCTAGGCAATCTGTGTCTATACATCCTGCACCTGTACGTCGCCGTCGCTTGGTTGTTTCTTCTGATGAAGACGAACCTGTTGTCCCTTTGGAATTGCAAGACTTGGACGTTGAACTTCCACTGCAAGAACAGGCTATTGAAAACTCTTCGACTTGTCCTGTTCCTACCGTTGACTCTGCTTTGCCTTCTCCTCTTCTTGCTGGCCAAGAAGTTCCGCTACTTCCAGTGGGGAAAACTAATCCTGGGAGGGCAAAGCGAATTAGGACACCGTCTGCAAAGGCCATTGAAGCATCTGTGGATGCCTCTAAGAGGAAGCCAAAAACTCCAAAGTCGTCTGCTAAGGAACCTGCTAAGAAGCAACTGTTTGCTGATTGACCATGCTTCGCATCATGCGAGTGCTAATGTAACATGTTTGTGCAGTGCTGTCCCTCCCTTTCTTTTGTGTCACTTTTAAAGGGAAACACTCTTTAGTGAGTAGTGCACTATGTACTTTTGCCTTTTGTATCTACATTTGCAGCCCTTGCCAAACTTGTGGTGTTCCATTACTGGCACCACTTTTACCAATCTGGTCTGCTGTGACATTTTACTTGTATTAGTTACCTCTTTGTCCAGATTACCCCTTGCGTACCTGCTTTCTAACCAGCTCTATGTCGTTACCGTAAAGCAACATTTTGCCATGCCCTTCTTTAAGTGGCATAGTATCGCGCCACTCTGCAACTGATCTTTAGTTTGTGCTAAGGAACTGGTTTACTTTGTATCATCATTTGTTGGGCGGAATTTTGCCGTTTAACCCGCATTCGCATCGCACCTGTATCTACTTCGTTAGCCAGTTGTTTTGCTCTTTATTCGCAGGTGGCCATTGTCTGTTGTAAATGGCCACTTTGAGGACCACATTGTGCACACCCTTTCCGCTTGCAGGGTATTTAGATGGTGTCTACCAGCCACACAGAAACTAGATATTTAGATTGTCCACTAATACTATGACTTTGTTTACTAGCTTCCATAGACCCAAATTATAAACTTATTCCTCTTCTATTAATTGCCATCATGCATTTATTGTTCTGACTACTCTGTTCACTAATGATGGCTTTATTACTTCTCACTTCTCTAGACTAGCCTGCTATGGTGCATGTTGTATTATTATACTTTTTCTTGAGAAGGATCTTTCCCCCTGGAAACACCGTTTACCTGTAGACTGCCTTCTTCCATAACTGCTTTCCCATTACTGCTTCTTTTTGCTCATTCTGTCTTTGCTGTTGGCCATTGAATTAAATTCTCTGCTACATCTGCTATACTATTACCTGGTATCTGCCTTCCTCTGCAAATCTGCCAGTGTTTGTATTCCACTGTACCCGTTCAGAATGCGTGGCATGGTTAGTTTGGCCAAATTATTACTTTTATCTTACTACATTTACCATTGTGTTCCTATATCATGCTACGCTTGTGCTATACTTTCCAGGTCCTGTTTTTTTCCTAACGTCAGTGTGTGATCTTAGGCCACTCCTAGACAGGCTGAACTCCTACTACCCGGTCGTTCAGCGAATAGGAAGCGTCGTCATATTGGTCTTTCCACTGAATTTGTACCTACCACACCTCCTTCGAGAAGTTCTCTGAGGCGTCGTGTGTGCAACTTTGATAGACGGGGACGCTTGCACCCACTGCTTGACTCAGAAGGTGAACTTGATGCATCCGAACTTGACTTAAGAACTCCTGAAGACTTAACAGCCAGCTCGCAAACTCATCCTCCTGTTGCGTTGGATGGTCATTGTTCATTGGCTGATGTACCTCTACCACCTTCACAACAAGCAAGATTCAGTCGGATTATCGATCATGGTTTCCCTGACTGTGAATGCCAGTACTGTGGTGCACGGTTCTGGTATGAAGAGCGGCTGAACAGGCATGCATCTCTTGCTCCTGTTTTCACGCTTTGTTGTCAAAAGGGTCGAGTACGCCTCCCATTCCTACAGGAAACTCCTCAGTACCTTGAAGACCTCTTGGGTGTTAATGGCGGTCCTATGGCAGCGCACTTCAGGGAACATATACGCTCCTATAATGCTGCGTTCTCTTTCACATCTTTTGGAGCACGCCTTGATCCGAGAGTTACACGATCACGAGGACCTTATTCATTTGTGATCTGCGGAGAAAATTATCATCGAATGGGATCTCTGCTTCCTGCTGCAGGTCAGAGACCTAAATATTCTCAGCTATACGTCTTTGACCCGCAGACCGAATTAGCAGATCGACTCTCCAATTTCTCTTCTGCTGAGCGGTCCCTGCGTCCTGATATTGTTTCTGGTTTAATGAAGCTGTTTGACGTGACAAATGAATTAGTTAAGTCTTTTAGACGAATTCGATCTGAATTGAATGATCCAGCATCAATCAATTTAAGACTGCGTATTGTTGGTGCAAGGGACACAACATCTCGACAATATGAACTTCCAACTGGTTCAGAATTGGCTGGACTCATTCCTGGTGATTTCTTGCCTGATAAGGAAGAACGAGACATCATTATCGATCATCGGTCAGAGGGCTTGAAGAGGATCACAAGTGTACACCCGAAGTTTGATGCTTTGCATTTTCCGGTTCTTTTCCCATACGGAGAAGATGGATTCCATGTAACCATACCGTATGACCCTGTTCATACTCCCAAAACATTGAAAAGGAAACATGTGACTCAGAGAGAGTACTATGCTTACCGGCTTCAGCACAGAGACGACGAAGGTCAGACATTGATGCGAGGTGGGAAGGCACTTCAACATTACGTGGTTGATGCATATTCCACAATTGAACAAAACCGACTCTATTATTTACGATCGCATCAAGAAAACCTCCGTTCTGAACTATACTATGCCCTTACAGATGCTTTCAACAGAGGTGATGTTACAGGAGATGCTGTTGGCCATGTTGTTCTGCCATCATCGCATACTGGAAGTCCTAGGTACATGAAGCAACTGTACTTAGATGCAATGGCTGTTGTCCACCATCATGGCAGCCCCGACCTATTCATAACCTTTACGTGCAACTCCCAGTGGCCAGAAATAACAGAGTCTTTTCGCGCTGTCTGTGGTGCACGCAGCGAACTCAAACCAGAGATTGTTGCTAGGGTCTTTCGCATGAAACTGAATGCACTGGAAGATGAATTAACACGAGGCCATTTCTTTGGTCAAACAGTGGCAGGTCTGTTCGGTTGCCTTATGTCTTACTTCCTTTTACAATTGCCTGTTATCAATTCTCCTATTCCTGTCACTCTAAACTTCCTCAGTTACCTCACGTTTTGTGCTCTAACATAAATGACACATTTCATTGCCTTATAATTCCAGGTATCAAAACCGTCGAATTCCAGAAAAGGGGTTTGCCCCATGTTCATATACTGTTATGGTTGGATGCAAAGAATAAGCTACGACAAGCTTCTGATATTGATGCAACTGTTAGTGCTGAACTGCCAGATCCATTACTAGATCCAATTGGGTATGATGCTGTGACAAAGTTCATGCTGCATGGTCCGTGTGGTCAAGATAATCCGACCAATGTTTGCATGAAAGAAGGATCGTGTTCAAAGTATTTTCCAAAACCGTTTAATTCAGAAACTACAACGGACCAGTTTGGCTATACAGTCTATCGCCGTCGCGATACAGGTATAACAGCAGTGAAAGGTACATCTATACTAGACAATCGGTTTATCGTTCCATATAATCGGAATTTACTTGTGCTGTTTCAAGCTCATATCAATGTCGAGGTCTGTCATCAAGGCCGGTTGATTAAATATTTGTTTAAGTACATTACAAAAGGGCCTGATAGATCCATGGTTCTTGCTGAAACTCCTGGGTTGTCTGTATCTGATTCTGCTACCCCAAACCATATCCCTCCATTGGACGAAATTAAACAGTTTCTTGATTGTAGAAGTCTGTCTTCATATGAGGCAGCGTGGCGGATCTTTGAATTTCCTGTTCATGAACGAACGCCGCCGGTTCAGCGCTTGTGCGTTCATCTTGAAGGGAGACATTATGTTCCTTATAGGAAGAAACAACGGCTGTCTCGAATACTTGCCCGCGATTCTGTTTCAGAAACAACATTGACACAGTGGTTTAACCTTAACCAACGAGATCCAACTGCAAGGGACCTACTTTATGCCGAGACTCCGAATCGTTATATATGGAATGTGAAAACAAAAAAATGGGCTCCGCGGAAAAGAGGGTTCTCAATTGGAAGAATTGTCTATATCCATCCAGGTTGTGGTGATACATTTTATCTCAGGCAACTTCTTACCAAAGTTCGTGGGTCAGTTAGTTATGCAGCTCTTCGGACAGTCCATGGCTTCCCATGTAGAACATATCAAGATGCGTGCCAGCGCCTTGGTCTTTTGTCTAATGATGATGAATGGTTACTTGTGATTAAAGAAGTCAGCCAATGGGGCATGTGCCGCTTGTTACGATACCTCTTTGTGTCCATGCTGATGTTCTGTGAACTATCAAACCCACTGCAGCTTTTCAATCAGACATGGGAATTGCTTTGCGAAGACATCACATATAGGTGCCAACGAGACGTTTGCTTCAACAACAACCTCATACCACCTGAATTGCCCAAAAATAAATTGTTGTGGGAATTGCAGCACATGTTAAATGCTTATTCAGCCACGTTATCTCATTTTAACCTTCCCTTGCCAACAGATGATCACCCACAAACTGATCCCTTGCTTCAGTTTGGAACTGATTCACATCCTGGTACTTTAGCTGCTGTGGATTCCCCACCTCCTGTGGTTGGTGATCTTAACAGAAAGCAACTTGAAGCTTTTCATTGTGTAATGGAATCTGTTATGTCTCCAACAGAAGACTCGCCTACATTCTACTTTCTGTATGGTCATGGAGGAACAGGCAAGACTTTCCTCTACAGAACTATTCTTGCGCAACTTAAAGAAGCTGGAAAAATAGTTTTGGTTGTTGCTTCTTCAGGAATTGCAGCAACATTACTTCCTGATGCAAGTACAGCTCACTCTCGGTTTAAAATACCACTGGAAATCGACCATGGTTCTTCATGTAATATCAAGAAAGGTACGCCATTGGCTCAATTGATCATTAATGCATCGCTTATAATATGGGATGAAGCCCCAATGGTTCACAGATTGTCTTTTGAGGCAGTAAACAGAGCTTTTTGTGATATTATGGATGTTCCGTTTGGTGGTCCACACTATAAACCGTTTGGTGGCAAAGTTGTTCTTCTTGGAGGCGATTTTCGTCAAACGCTTCCAATAGTAGCTGATGCTGGCAGAGAAGAGAGTATTGATTCATCTCTAACCTGTTCCTTTTTGTGGCAACATTGCACTGTGTTGCACTTAACTGAAAATATGCGTGTGGTTGCTTCCCGGGAGAGTCAAAGGTCAACTTTTGGTGGCATGCCCTTTACCGAATGGACTCTTGCTGTGGGAAATGGAAATGTGCCAGGGAAATCATTTCCTCCTAACCAATCTACTGATTGGATAGAGATTCCGGAGTCATTACTGCTTCCTTCTTCAGGAAATCCCATCCATACAATTACGTCTACAGTCTATCCTGACTTTGCTCAACGGTTCCATAATGTATCGTATCTGACTGAAAGATCCATTATCACACCGACAAATGCAAATGTCACAGAGATCAATTCTCATATGTTAGCTCTTATTCCGGGAATGCCTCGCACATATTTTAGTGGTGACAGTCTTCATACAGATGCAAGTGATCCAGACCGACTCGAAGCTGAATATCCCACTGAATTCCTTAATTCCCTGTCCTTCAATGGCTGCCCTGAACATCAGATTGATCTCAAGGTATTTGCTCCAATTATGCTGTTGAGGAATCTAAACCCATCAATTGGTCTTTGTAATGGTACACGCTTAATGGTGCTCTATTTGGGCCATTATGTGATAAAAGGGATGATAATGGGGGGTACATTCAATGGTAAGACTGTGGCAATTCCGAGAATTGTTCTTAGTGTCAATGATTATCGTTGGCCATTTGTTCTTAAGCGCCGGCAGTTTCCAGTACGATTGTGCTATGCCATGACAATCAACAAAAGCCAGGGCCAGACATTGCAAAATGTTGGTGTGTATCTGCCGAAGCCAGTGTTCAGCCATGGCCAACTTTATGTCGCTGTTTCTAGAGTTAGAACACCAGATGGACTTAGGTTCCTTATTCTGAATGAAGATGGCGTGCCTTCCAACTGTACCCGAAATATTGTTTACCAGGAGGCATTCGTTGACCTTCATCAAATTGATTCAGATTTCTCATACAGCCATAAATAGTTTTTATATCTCAGCCGACGTTTGTGACGAGACATTTAAGACTTCATTCTTGATTAGTCATGAAGCAGCTTCTGCATTACTGCAAACATTTCCTCTATGGGACCTTGAAGACGCAGATGTTCGGCATCTCCTCCAACCTGTCCTTTACCGCACTTATACGTTTGAGATCAAAATGTTGCCTTGCTGTAGGGATAGGCATGAACGCTTTGAAGTTGTTGCAGTTTGGCATCGTCATGCTGCAGGTGTTCAGGATTGGTTTTAAGCGTCTTAAATATAAGGATTCAGGGTTAGCATTTAGTTTTGTGCAATATTTTTCGCTTCAATGTCTTTGCTTTCCTTAGATCTGCTTTGCAAAAGCCCTTTGCTGTATTTTCGCCACCAGGACTCCAAGATGTTACCTCTTCTGATGTCATTGTAATGAACACATATAGTCTCGCCATTTTGTACGTGCTCCTTCCTATCGCCAAATCTACCTCGGAACCCATGTGACTAAATCATGTGCTTGCTCGCAGACAAAAAAAAACAAATACATCACTTGACAACCTATTGATACATAGAGAGTTTGACCACCAAACTAGCTCTATAGTCTTTGGACCCATTTGATCATTAAGACAGTCCACTCTAAAATCAAATTATGCAACTGTACATTTTCCAAACCTAAGGAACTTTATTAACGCCTGCAAATATGTGACTGCTTTTTACACGGGTGAGAGGAGATTTAACATTGGACAGAGAGTACTCAGTGTTGGCCCAGCAACCTTTAAAAACAAGATGGAACAAGACCCTAATTACTTGCCAAGTTTGCGTAATCAGTCCAGTTATGAATAGGTTATCGAAAACACCCGCTAGCATTATAAGACTAACTTCAACCCGTAAAGTCAAATTTGGCTCCCCAAATAGCCAAATTTGGCTTTTTAGCTCCCCAAATCCCATTTTCACTCCAACCCTACACAAAGCTAAATTTCGCTTCTCATCTCCCTTTTTTCAATTTATTACAATAAACCATACTTATTTGACCTCTAATTTTTATATTTCACTTTAATTATTCTATAGTTAGTTATTACTTTTGAAAACAAAATTTTCGATGTAATTTTTTTTAAATTCCGAGACAAAAAATATTTCGGAAAATTAGTCATTATTTTGTTACCGTTAACTTCGGGACCACTGAGATAATACCAATTAAACACACAACAATTCATATCTTCTTTCAAACAATTAAACAAACAACATACACAATCAACCAATGACAAAATACCACACAAAAAAAAGAAAAAAGGAAAACAACACAATCAACCAATGAGAAAATTCCACAGAAACAAATAAAAAATAAAAAATAAAGGAGGACCCGCTGCGGGTCCACCATTTTCTCTAGCCAAATTTGGCTTTTCCACTCTTTTGGGAGCTAAATTTGGCTCCCAATTCATCAATACCCATTTTTAGCTTCCCAAAATAATGTGGGTTGGAGCACAAAAAAAGAGCTAAAAATGGGTAAATGGCTTTTTAGCTCTAGGGTTGGAGTCAGTCTAACTGGGCCAATTTAAACCATGATGGATATAATTTCTAGATACATTCTTCCGCCCCAGTTGGGTCGACAAAAATGCACAACTTACCAATCCGGGCCACCAATTATGCATGATGCAGTTTTTAAAACAGACATAACCGATTGGCCCGGCCCAATAGCTTTCTCCATCAAAACCTTACACTTTGTCCCCTAAAATAAGCTGCCTGTCTTTCTGTCGTTCAGCTCGCCCTTTGTTCGTAACAAAAAAACCTAAATTATACAACCGGCCAGAGAAGCGCTGCTGGTCCCCCACCTTCAGCATAACCCGCCCAGAGAAACGCTGCCAGTCCCCCAGCGTCAGCATCTGCCCACACTTTCGCGTTGACTGTGAGTTCGATATTGTTTTTAATCGTATTTCATTCCCTGTGTTTAGCCTTTTGCTAGGCGTTCTTCTGTACCCTTTGGCGGCCAAAGTTCTGCTGACCTATCTTTGGATTTAACGGGGGGCTCTAAAAGTGTGCGGGTGAGGTTTTGAATAATCAACTTGGAAAGGGACATCTGCATTAATCGAATGTCCTTCTAAACTAGACTATTTGTTGTTTTGCCGCTAAATGTGGACAGGTCTCCAAATAGCGAGCAACACATGGTTCTTTGTGGGTGCAATAGCCTGTGCATTTTTACTGTTATTCCTGCTAGCTTTCCCATTTATTCTGGTTATCATATTTCTTCCCGCAGCTATAGAAAGCAAGTTCGTCCTGCACCCAAAACATTCCTGCCCACTGAGTTCCGTTTTTTGCCAACCACCGAGAGCGAAATGTTACCAACGGACCCACATGGTATTCTCCCATTACTGAACAATACCCTTATTTCCGTATGCTGTTATGTGTTGTCATGCATTTTCGTTTCGTTTTAGATGTCATGAAACAATCCACAACCTTCCGTGAACTCCATCTGGGAACCAACAACATTTTCCTCATGGCACGCCTACTGAACATCTGGACAGAATGTGACCCCTGTGAAACTACATCTGCTACCTCTATACAGATGCTTTGGCTAGACAAAGAGGTACGTCTATAAAAAACAAACCTACTTCTTGCTTATACTTTAAACATAAAATGTTTAGTGAACACATTTTTCCAACATTGTAACTCCTATAGGGACAGCTTATGGAAGCTGTTGTGCGATGTGGAAGTTCTCCTGACATGTGTTCAGACATGAACCTTGGTTGTCTCTACACCATGATAAACCCAACTGTGATACCGGCTAAATCTGAACGTCGAATTGCACCTTCCACTTTGAGATTGTCTTTCACAAATAGAGGTGCATTCGAAGGAATCCATGAATATCGCAGCACCATGAATTTTCCAGATGACTGTGCCCATCAAGTTCTTTGTGATTACAGTGTTTCTCCTGCAAGTCTCCCACTCTGTTACTCAGGTATTTCTTCTTCCTGCTTAGCCAACTGAACACAGCATCCTGCATTTTAAATTGATGCACAGAATATTTTTTCCCCCTAAATATAATATTTACAGACCACATGCAACCAAATAACTCAACCAGATTCGTGTTTCAGAAATCACAGGATGCGTGACGCACATAACAGAACCACTTAGGGTCAATTCTGATACATTTATGTTTCAAATCTATCTTGAAGACATGAGGTATGCTTCGAAATCAGCTTATGTTTTATACGTTATAATGCAAATTGGTCTGTATTAACACACATTAGTTGTCTTCCAACTTCATAGTGGCAATAAAGGACTTGTGAGCTACATCGGAACGCGGATTAAACAATTCATTCATAGTGCTGATGGAAGCGAGGTGCATTATCCTCTGATCATTACAGCAACAGGCCTCACCCGAAATGTCCACGAATTCACCCATATTCCGCCGTTTTGTTTCGTGACATCTCCTGGGACCCGTCTCATTGTCCACCCATACAATGAAACGACACATCTTTTAATGAACAGGTATGCTGTACTATTTGCAGCTTTCTTTCCATTATATGCATCTTCTTCTATCATTTAGCTAATTGAACACAACAAACCTTTTAGGTTCTTTCATAACAGATTGCCAGTGGACATCATTGACTACAGCTCGAAGGAGCGCCTTGGATACCTTCGGCGCAAGATTCCTCCCAGAATTTCATTGCTGGAATTGAAGACCAAAGTTCCATTAGGAGAAATGGAAACTGAGGTGACTTTCCTTACCTTCTTTGTGCACCTGTAGATTGTTAATCAAGTATATATTACAATTATCAAGCATCCTCAGGTGGCCTTCCAACAAAATAAATGTTATTAGTTACTCACACAAACTGGACTTGACATTTTTCCTAATTCAATCCATATGACAGATACTCTATCGATGCAAATTGAAGATACTTAAGTTCCATCTTGGTTCTGAGACCTGCAAAACTTTTCCTGAAGACACTGAGTATTTCCAAACTACGACTACTGTTCTTTTCCTTATTGTTAAGTAACAATTCATTGCTACCACATCTCTAATCTACGTATACGTTTAGATTGTACTACGAATTGCAGGCTGAATGCGAATCAGGAAATCACACTGCAACAATTGTTCTGAATCATCAACCTGCTCTTGCTCTAATCCGTATGCCACCGCTCGAGTTCCAGATGATGCCATATGACGAGAGAGTTGAGTTGCTCAAAACATTCTGCAATGTTCAGCTAATGGCAGAACTGTACATCGTGGGATCAGAAGATTCAGATGAACCACACATCCGCATGTTTGCGATTTGGGATTCAAAAGCATTTCGCCCATTGCTAGAACTTAAGTTGCGCATCTGACCAAAGCCCTTACATTGCAGTCAAAGAAGGTACATTCCTTCCTACTTTTGTTTTGCATTCAGTGGAACATTGGTGTTCTTGGGCACAACCATTTTTTGCGCACCAATAATACCCACATGTCTGTTCTTATTGCAGCTCTTGGAACTAAGAAGTTAAATGGGTTGTTGCCTGAGGAAGGATCAAAGTAACGCAGGGCCAGAAGACATAGATTGCAACATTATTAGTTAATTAAATCTTTTGAGAATTGGAATAGTCCATCTTTATTTCCATTCTGGACAGAAACTGTTCTGGTACGTTGTGTATGGTAGCTATCCTTTAAGCTCAACCATCCAAATAGTTTAGATCTAAACAATGTACTTTGCAATGAATGCTCGTATTTTATTCGTCTGAGCTATGCCCTTTCTGCAGTTCCTTTCTTTTAAATGTGTTGGATTGTTCTGTCTTCACTTTTGTGTCGTTACTGTTCTGGTATATTAGATCTCAAAATAATTACACATACCACTGTTGCCTCAGTTGAAAAGTAATAGATTCCCTTCACACCACTTGTCTTGTAGTCTTTCCTTCTACGACCATTGTTTATTGTATTTTGGATCATTTTGGGCCGCAGAGACACTGAACAGTTCGAGAGAAATTTTCTATGTTTTGTTGTTTTATTCAACGTTTAGGAAGATCCCTGCTCTTATCTCACCTTC